GCGGAGAGGGGGAGGGAACGTGTGGTCAGCTATGCCAATAATTTATTCTCTTTATGCAGCTGTGTAAAAGGGCGTCCGTTTTTTGGGTGAGACCTTCCCCATCGGCCATTTCCAAGCTAAATCGTGGTGGAGAGTCTGGAGACCTCAGCCTCGGTAGTCGGTACCCTGCGCGCTGCGCCACCTTGCGAAACATAAAGCAGCAGTCCTGACATCTACAGGCGTGGCTTTTCATGAAAGCGCGGATGTGTTCGCGCTTATGCGAAGAAAATTCTTCCGAGTATGGTTGATAATGAGATTAATTGTTGTCGTTTATTTATTAATTCATTAGCAAAAGTACCCTAATAAATCGGTAAAGTAGCTTGAACTGTATCGTATTTCCTTGGGAAAAAATGACGAACTCATCCTAAGACATCCAGATTATTGGATGCGTTCGTCAGTTGTAAGTAGTTCAAGTTTTTGGGAAAATTTGCTTGTGGAAAATCATAATATTTCAAAGATATGCCTATTTTCGAATAATCAATGCATTTATCTGCATTGAAAATGATTGTAAAGCAAAAGTGCAAAAGATTATTGTCAACTTATTTTCTCAAATCACAATCTACGAACGCACAAAACTCCAGCTTTTAATTTAGTGCGTGTGCGAATTGCGGTCAAGAAAAAAGATTTAAACTGTCTATATTCCTCTTGAAACAATGAAGGATGAATGAGGAAAACGCTGTTTTGAACAATTGTATATTTATTTTTCTTAATTAAGCAAAAGTACAAAATTTTCAACTATTATTACATTTGCTCTCACAAAACCCATCACTTTTTAGCATGACGTCATGTCAGCCAAATTTACTAGCGCCATCTCTGGAGAGCATCTTTCGAAACCTCCAGACGATAGAGAGAGCCCTATAGGGGGGCTGGCCTCGCTGTCGTCGAGTTGGATCACACGGACGCACGTGTGCGATTTTGCTCTTAGGCTTATTAGATATTAGATCTTAAGCGATTGTTGTTGCGTGGCTACTGGCTAGCTTTCCCAGTACTTTCTCGAAATTATCATTCTCGGTATTCTCTTTTTGGCGCTCATCGTTGCGAATTTCTGCTGAATTCTGGCGGCGGCGGTGCTGCGCCGCGCTCGGTCCGAGTCGGTTTAGTGTCGGCCATTTTCCCACCTGGAAATCGTGATTTGAACAAACCGGTAAGGTTCTCTGTTCTCTCCTTACTGTTACGTCTCTGTTTTGTTAATTTGCTTCTTTCTTCATCAAAAATTTCCTTCATACTCGTTTCTTGGGTGTGCCTCCTGTGAGATCTCGTTTTTTCAACCCTCTTCGTGCGTTTGGCACGCTTTTTTCGGCGCATTTCCAACCATCTACATTCTCTAAACATGGCCCCTCCCCTGTCCCGCCCCCGCCCTCCCCTGACCCGCCCCCTCCTCGAAGATTCCTCTCCGGGCTCGCCTGGTCGAGGCTGGGAGCCGCTAGATGACGTGCCTGACGGGCAGTCGTTTATCATCCTGACTAGTCCTGATCGGTCCCTCCAGGGTCTGTCACCGTTTCGAATCAAACGAGAACTCGACACCTTAATCGGCCCGGTTGTCACCGCAAAGGTAGTCCGATCGGGATCTCTTCTAATCCGGGTTAAAAACAAGGCTCAGGCCTCGCTGGCACTTTCGATCCAGACTTTCCTCGGCAACGAAGTCGCCGCCAGCCCTGCCACCAAACTGAACTCGGTGGCCGGCACTGTATTTGCCCCATCACTGAAAAACATGGACGAGACGGAGCTCCTACACGAACTGCGGCCGCAGGGGGTCACCCTCGTCACTCGACTCCGCTCGCGTGGCCCCACCCCAAACCCGAGGATCAAAATCCACTTTCTGGGCCTTACCTGCCCACCGGCTATATACGCGGGATATGAGATCTTGGAGGTTAGGGAATGGGAGCCCAGCCCCCGCCTCTGCCGACAGTGCGGCAGCTTCGGCCACAACCAGACGACCTGCAGGTCAAAGCGACTGAACTGCCTGAAGTGTGGCACCTCCGGCCACAAGGTCGATGAGTGCGACCGGGATCTCTACAGGTGCGGCCACTGTGGTGGCCCGCACCCAGCCTGGGATCGGATGTGCCCCGCATGGGAGTACCAAAAAAATAAGCTCAAAGCCAAGCTGGCGCCACCACCCCCGCCCCCACCGTTCCCGTCGAGTTCCTACTCGGAGTCAGGTGCCTCTGAATATCCGGCGCTCTCGCCCTCTCCACGCAGGGCCTCACTCACGGACACCGTACCGAGTCGCGAAAACCCGCCGGTCCAGAGTCGCACCCCGAAAGCCCCTGTCCGTCGACAGCTGAGCGCGCCCGAGGCTGTGGAGACCCCCGCGTCTGAGCCGGAGAAAGGCTGGCCTCATCCGGCCTCATCGTTCCTGTTCCCGTTCGAGCAGCGAGCTGGCTGTGGCTCGAGCTGGGCTGGAGCGGCTGGGGCGTGAATGATTGGTTTGGAGCTTGAACTGGGACATTTGGCGTCCGCGGCTGCTGGCTGGAGGAGCGAGGCAGGAGGAGGGGCTCAGCCAGGCTCAGCATAATAACTGCCTGAGTAACAACTCAACGGGAAATATCCAGAGGTCAAGGTGAGAGGAAGGTGAAATCGCCCGGTGAAAGGTGAAGGTGAAAATGTCAAGTTTAAGTCCTAAGAAGATTTCATTGATAAATTTTTCATATTTTTACATTATTTGACATCCTGAATCCAAAAATGATACTCATATGTCTCGCAAATAAAAGAAAAAAACATAATCAAACCTGACCTAACCTTACCTACATACCTATAACCTACCAACCTACAACCTACAAACCTACCCTAACCTAACCTAACCTACAAACCTACCTACCTACAACCTAAAACCTACAAACCTACAACCTAACCTAACCTAAAACCTAAAATTTTTGCTGTTTCATATTCGTATCAACAGCGCCACAATTGTAGTTAGGACCTAAACTTGACATATACCAATCGCCCTGTGTCGTTACAGTTAGGGCTTATACGAAGGCAAAACGTGTATTTCCTACTGCTATTCTTTACTGACAAGTGGCAATTACCTGTTACAATAACAAACAAAAGGGCAAGGTGATAAGGGAAATGAAACTAGCTGAAATGAAGAAGATTGGGTAAATATTTACTTTAGGACCGGCACACTTTTTCAAAGGGAAATTTTCGACAATCTTCCATTATTTGACATCCTAAATCAAGAAATGATACTTACATGTCACCAAAACTGCAAAAAGTCACACAAAAACTTGATAAAATCCAGCCATCTCACCCCGCGTCACGTAACGTACACCGACGAAATTATACGAATGCGGCGATTACGATATAAACAACGTGTTTGCGCCGTTGCCATTTGCGAAAAGGAAAAATATGTGCATGTTTAATTCAATGAAAATGACGTCATAATACCAAAAAAATACATATAGGCGAAATTTAAATGGTTAAAAATTGGGTGATATGGGGTAGGATAGCAAATTAAACACGGAAAAAATTATCAGAACATAACCTAACCTTACCTAACCTGACCTACTGATATTTGCCTACCCGGGGATAAGGAAAAAGTTGCTCGCATGAATAGATTGCAAGCAATGGTAGGTCAAATATTTTTAGGTTAAGTGATTGTGCATTAGGCTTCAGGCCTTCGGCCTGAAGCCAAATACACAACCACTTAACCTAAAAATATTTGACCTACCATTGCCTGTAATCTCTCCTAAGGCATTGCCTTCGGCACTGCCGCTGCTTCGCAACGAGAAATTTCATGACGTCACTTTCCTCACAGTTGAATAGCATCGTTAATATGTATTCACGAAACCTTGGAGCGCAGTGCGTGGCCGGTGGAGTACGCAGTCGGTGGGATCTACGGCGCAGGCCCATGTCGTCCCCTATCTCTCTGCGTGTCCACTAACACGAATGACGTCACGCATGTGGGCGGAGCTATGGGCGGAGCCTAACGCACGCGGCAGTCCAAGCCGCCATATTTGAATTTATATTTTAAAGGGACCCTCCCACCTTCAAAAAAGTTAATGAATTGGCATGAAAGTGATGTCGCTCGGTTCAGAAAGAGCAAAAACGAATATCTACCAAATTTCATCGAAAAATATTCACCGGTTTTCAAGATATTAGACTTTTACTTTTGTTTACTTTTTGGGATCTCCGCTGTTCCTAGCGACTTTATTTGAAAGTGCGGCATTTGTTGCGCGCAAAGCAGCATATACCACCGCGTGCTACAAAACGTTTTAGTCAAACATTTAACGGACGTTCGAAAGCCTGATGACGTCATCAGATTCCCATAATGGTTAAGAGATAGGGACCAAGCTGGTCCCACCCTGCAAGTAAAGGGAAGAAATTTCTTGAACACCATAAAGCTGCGGGGGTTGCGACCAGGATAAATGGTGGTTTCTGAGCCTGGCCGCAAACTTGGCTATCTCAACTCAAAACTAATGTTAAGGTGGGAGGGTCCCTTTAATAGAATCTTGCCGATATTTTGGGTGAAGTCAATTTATATGGATAGCTTGGTGACAGTTTAGCTATACGAATAATAATTTATTATGGATATGCGTATATTCAGCTTGGAATTGCAATTAAAGTTCCGCACCGCATAGATTCGAACTCGGGACCTTTGGAATACTGCGCGGGCACGCTAACCACTACACTACCGCGACCGCGCGGCGGCCGGCGGCAGGGAGGCTGCGGAGACATGGGGGGACATTTTACGCTTTTGTGAAAAAAGCAAAAGATTTAGCGAAAAACACGTAATAGATAACTTGCAGAAAATTGTCTGCTCTTTCAGATAAGATACTTAGGTTTGATATATCTTGTGCAGACTTCATTCTACAGTGCTTCGAAAATCGCTCATTTACATGGGGATTGAACGGGGCTTCGAGACTTGACTCCAAATGACGTCACGAGCTGACGTCACGAAAAGGTAGAATCGCCGGACGACCCTACCTGGTATATAGGGCCTTGCTACGGCGGTGACGGTAAATATTGTATTGGTGCATTTTAACTTGTTTGTGCCATGAATGACTATCAGCTATGAAATCAAAAGGTCAAATTATGTCATGCGATATGCTTCTTACTATCACTTGGGGTTCGCGACGAAAGTAATGGCTGCCGGTCCTAAAGTAAATAAATACCGAAGATTGAGTAGTGACAATGTCATAATTGAGATGCATGTTACCCTTATACGAAGCTCATTACATTATTGCTTTTGAGTCACCTGTCACATTTTGCCCCCAGGCCCCTATGTGGTACCTGTAGGCTGTAAATATATGCCTGCTTGCATATCTTTTCTCGCATATTAACATCATTCACTATTTCATGTTTCAGAGTTGTGGTACAATTTATTTTCCATGACATGAATGTGTGAACATTTTGAATTTAATGGGATAATAGATGCTTACTATGAATGGAGATGATTTTGAGTTTTTCCATAGTAATATCTATTTTTGTCTTATTCGCCAACTTGGAATATGGGCTAGCATCTTGCGCAGGTGTTCTGAATCAAGAAGTCTGTAAGGCAAGTGAGAAACTCAGCCTACTTCAAACAGATGATTGCTCAGAACTTCCCATAAAAGGTGGTTATATCAATCAAACCTCCCACACCTGTACCTCACACAAAATGCAAAACTGAAATCCATCATTATTTTTTCTTGTTTATGCTTATACGTAAGTTATTTGTCACTGTTATATCCTGTACCAGCATATGTAGGTTCCTCTTTGTATTTTGTCATGGCATGAACCAATTCAGCCAAGGTTACAAGTCAATGTATATTGGGTGTATTTTATGTGGATACTGCCTTTTGGCAGTCTATTTGTTTATTGATTATGTACTTATCTTGTTATTCTGATTATTATTTTTCAATGTATCCTACTCTACATATTATTCTGGACTCTGGTTGTACCTATGCTGAATACTGTAATTGATCTGTTAAGTCATGTTTTTTGTCTTTAGGTAAAATGTGCTGCATAGATTTAGGTTTGATTTTTTTTCAGATCAGCAAGAGAAAATGGCAGCCCAGAGGACCATCCTGATTACAGGCTGCTCTAGGGGAATTGGTCTTGCCCTGGCAGAGGAATATATCAACAGGGGGTGGCAGGTGAGGTCGAGGATGAGAGCAGCACCACTGATGCTTTGAGTACCCTCCAAATTTTTAGATGAATTACCCATGTGGCGCCCCACATGATCCTGGATATCCAAATTCCAAACCCTGCTGGAGGGGGAGGGGGTTCAACTACCCAGTTCTAACCTTTTGAACCCTTCTAAATTGACCTTTCCCTAACCAAATATATATACTTTGACACACCTGAGCAAGACAAACATGATTACAAAATTGCAGCTTATTGATTAGGCATGGTCAAGTTATTTACCAAAAACCAGACCCCTATTTTAAGGTATTTGACCTGACCTCAAAGGTCAAATGTCAAGTATGGTAAGAATATGATTGGAGCTCTGCCCCCCCCCCACACGAACAATTATGCAACCCCTTTTCCAGTCATGTGTGGGTTAGTTGCTAAATTTAACTTATCAGTAGTATTCCTGGGGTAAACTATGTTTCAGAGTCGCATTCGAGACCCCAGTGTGAGACTGCCATCTCGGCCGCCCTCGTCGGAACCGGGGTCCGCAGGTCACAGTCGGTAGAGGAGGAGTGAGAGAGTGTGTTTATGAAATCATTGGTTTTTATCTTGATGTCTGGACGCTAGCACGTGACCAGACCCGCAGCCGGCCAGGGAGCCGGCGGTCCCGTGTCGCTATGCGAATTCCACATGTATCTTCAGTCTTTACAAAGCCGACTTTTTTGTCAGATGACTGTGACTCTATCCAACTGTACATGTCTCGTTCAATGGCACAGCGAAAGCACAACATTAAAGGGACCCTCCCACCTTTAAAAAAGTTTATGAATTGGCATGAAAGTGATGTCGCTCGGTTCAGAAAGAGCGAAAACTAATATCTACCAAATTTCACCGAAAAATATTCACCGGTTTTCAAGATATTAGACTTTTACTTTTGTTTACTTTTTTGGGATCTCCGCTGTTTCTAGCGACTTTATTTTAGAAGTGCGGCGTTTGCGGCAGATGTTGCGCGCAAATAGCATATACCACCGCGTGCTACAAAACGTTTTAGTCAAACATTTAAAAATCGTTAGATATTTGCGCTGACGTCACACATTCAGAGGGGTATTCCTAAGCATTAGCCCCTCTGAATCAAAATGCTGCAATTTTGAAATTCAATATTTCCGATTTAAGGCATTTCTCGATGTTGTGAGTGCCGAAACCGGTAATTGTGAGCCAGGGACCCCATTTTGGCTATCTCAACTGAAATCTAATGTTAAGGTGGGAGGGTCCCTTTAAGAAGAGGAGACCAGGCATTTGGAGCCTCCATCGGGAGTTGGAGGACTCGTTTCCTTCACACCGGTACCACTCTAACACCGCCTCTCTGCACAGGTGCTGGCCACGTGCCGCTCGCCGGAGCGGGCCAAGGAGCTGACTGCGCTGCTGAAGAAGCACCACCAGTCACCGGCCGTCGCCCTGGACACGGCCGACGACGGCACCATCCTGCGCGCCTTCCAGACGGTGCTGCAGCGCGGCGTCCGGAAACTCGACCTGCTCTTCCACAACGCCGGTACGGCGGGACGGCTGGTGGACGCGGCGGCGCCGTCCGCCGTCGGCGTAGGGACCCGTCCGCCTGAGTTCAACCGCACCGAGTCATGTTTTTTTTTCATTCCACAAAATTAGCGACCCCCCAGACACTCGACTTTATTCCGAGTGTTCTGTGCATACCTACAGGGTCTTTCATAATGAATGTTACTTTTGAAAGAGCTATTTCTCAGGACATATATGTTCCTCATGTAATATGTACCATCACATGAAACAGAAACACATTAGCGTTTTTGCACACACAACTTTCATTTTAATGCTCCTCAGGAATTTTCCACTGTATCGTCCTTAATTAAGGCACACGTTTCGGCCCTCTGACGAAGGTGTCGCACCCCGCGCCTCACAACGCCTGGGTCCAGGCTTCCAGAAAACCTCTCCACTGTGGTTCGCAGTGGATGGCTGCAGGAGCGTTTTGTCTCAGATCTGCCAATGCGACTCCCCAAAACCAGTAGTCCAGCGGGGAGAGGTCAAGACTCCTTGGTGGCCACGGTCGCTCGGTGAGGCGGCTGATAACGCGCTCTTCGAAAATTTTCGATCAGCCACTGGCGCAACAGCTGCCGTGGTGTGCACTGTGGCACCATCCTGCTGGAACCACAGGCCGTCTCTTTGAACCATGTCTCTGACCTGAGGCAGAAGCATTCCTTGAGCAGCCTGAGGTAAGCCACCCCGTTCAGTGTTGACCCAGGGGAGAGCCAATGGATGAAGGCTTGTCCGTCGACCGTAATCCGTAATGCGTTTTAGTGGTGTCGACATACTCTGCTTTTGCGTGAAGGAAAATTGGCGTTGTGTTTTTTTTTTATTTCTTGGGACAAAACCCTAATCAATTTGCAACAATATGCTTATAAAATTCACGCGGAAATGATGAATTAAGATCTCCTAACTAAATGTTCAAAAGTAACATTCATCAAGACATTCATTATGAAAGACCCAACTTCCCGATCAGTTAGCTCTAGTTAACTCCTGCGGTGCTCAAACGCCCATCCAAAACTCTTGATAAGATATTTATTAAAACCTTTTTTTAGATTATCAAGTGTCATAATCTAGACATCCAAATGTATAGGTACACTAAAGCAGAAACATGTACAGTGTACACTAGTGTGGGCGTACCCGGTACCGCTAGTGCTTCGGGTGCGTGCCATCTAATTCATTGCAAACGCGTGCCTGTCAAGTCCGGGTGTGCCCTAAGATGACTGATCTCGATCAAATTTGCCATTCTGGTCAGATGACAGATATCCTCAAAACATCGGCGTTTTTTGTCTCTAGTTTCGTTCGTTACTAGTCTCATGCAGTGGAGTGGTGGTGGCACCGTTCTCGCTAACAAGCCGCCGTCTCCCCGCCCTCCCGTCAGCCCGATTCGACCGATCCATTCTCTCTCCGCGTGGTCGCACTCGTCATATTTGCGGTATGTGGGCTAGAAGCCTATTGTTATTCATATAGCGGTGTCACCGACCTCTCATCGGTCTAGAGTGTACGGTTTTGTGGCAGAACGGGAACGGCACGGCTCCGACCCTGTTCGACTTTAGACGTATCTGTTCCGTACTCTACGCTGTGCGTTGGGTCGAGATGAAGTAGCATGCGTCTGCCGCCGCGGGGAGCCGGCAGCAATCACTGTCAGTGCGCGCACCTGTGCGCCACCCGCAGCCCGCCCCCGGTGGGTCGGCCCTGGATACCACCTGTGTCGGATAATGACACCAGATGGTCGCGATGGTCGTTAGGACAGTAGACATTTAATCGGAGACGGATGCTATCAGGCTGACTTTTTTTTTGACGGCTACGCTTACATATGCGTCTCCTATGCGTCTCGTTTTTTTCTTCTGCTTAAGCTATACACCAGAGAGCAGAGATTATGATGTCCGTGCATATTGCTCTGTTTCGTGGTCACACCGCCTCCGTGCCGACGCCGCCCGCCGCCTCCGCCAGGTATATCCGGTCCCGAGGACGTGCTGAAGGCGACGCGCGCCGAGCTGGACGCCACCTTCTCGACCAACGTCTCCGGACCGATGGTCATCACGCAGACGTTCCTGCCGCTGCTGAAGGCGGCGCCGCAGCCCAAGGTGAGCCGCGCGGTCGAACGGTGGTGTGCGGCGTAGTTTGTCACTCGTCAATTAAAATCACCAACGAGCTGACGTAATCAACCAAGTTTGTGGCATACGATATACGCTTGTTGCTGGTTCGAACGTGGCTCAAATGCTTGTTTGTTTTGATTAATATTTATATGATTTTTGTATTGTCTGATGCTCCTGCCTTTGGCACCAGTCCCTGAACAGTGAACAGCAGTCCTTTGTGCCCGATGATCAACTCCTGCTGTCTCCGCCAGTTGGTGTTCATGTCGACCATTATGTCGTCACTGGAGATGAACATGGGCGGCGGCATGATGGCCTACCGGGTCACCAAGACGGCGCTCAACGGCATGGTCAGGTACGTTACCGGGCGACGCTCGCCGCCGCAGTCGGCCGGGGGCGGTCAGCGGGTATGGGCCAGGTAACGTAATTCGCGCCGGCTGCCCTGGGGACAGGAGGTCCGTTAATGAGATTATGTTTCATGCTTACTGAAATTAAATGCAGCTCGGGCATTTACCGAGTTTCCAATAGAGTTGCGTGGTAATGCAACTGCAGGAGTCATTTTTGCAAGTGCTCTGAACGGACTTCTTGCTAACTCAGAATTCGAAAAGGAAAATGATGATTCGTAAATCTTTCAATGGGCTATCACTTGTCAGTGTACTTCTTTTGTACCTCCCGGTGACCGACGATGCTGTCAAACAATGAGCCCTGCCTCACACTGCGCCGTGTCGCCGCGTCCCACCCGTGCGGAGCCGCCCGCGGTCCTATCTCGCCGCGGCGCGGTGAGCCGCCGTCTAACGGGACCGGTGGTTTGGCCACGGCTGTAATTGGCGTGACTGGGACGGTCAGGGGCGGCATTTTCAGCGCGACTTAATTGGCACGGCCAGGCCAGTCGTCAGCGGTCCTGGCCGCGGTTAGGTCGGACGGAAACATGTCTCGTGGCACCGCTCGTCAAAAGAATGCTTTTAAAAAATGATTGCCCCATCACCTCCACGATTTTTAAAGTTTAAATCGATTCTTAAAATATTCTTAAAATATTAAATCGATTTTTAAATTTAAAATCGTATCACCAGATATCAAATGTTCCTTTACCGTTTTTTTTTTTACGTGCGGGTTTACGATTTTGACATTCCCGCAGCGAACTGTGAGATCTCCGACCACTGGAGAAGGATCTCCCCACAGCGAGCTGAACGCCTCCTTAGAGTGGACTGACGCTCTCCTCCCGTATTTCGCACCCACAGGCAGTTTGCCGGTGACGTGTCGGGTGTGATCGTGCTGGCCATGCACCCGGGCTGGGTGCAGACCGACCTGGGTAACTCGGTCGGCCCGGCGCCCCTCTCGCCGGCCGCCAGCTGCCGCGGCATGTACGACACCATCGAGGGTGCCACGCGCGCCCACAACGGCAAGTTCATCGACTACCAGGGCCAGAAGATCCGCTGGTGAGCGGCCACCGCCGGCAGACAGCAGCAGGGGTGCGAGGTGGGGGCTGGTGATCAGAACAGGGTTAGAAATGACGAATCTCTGTGATTCTCTAGAGGTTGTGGCCGGCAGGAGGTCTATATTTGGCCTCCACTTCTGTAGTTCAAAAGAGATGCCATGTAGTCACGAGTTGTCTCCCGATATCAGATTGCCCCCTTCTACCTGCTATGGTGCTAAGATGGCATAATGGTTTGTCAGAAATCTGATCCTATTCTTGTTTGTAGATGGTGATATACATTGGGCTTGATGTGATTAGGATGCACCTTTTCATCACCCATACTCGTGTTTCGTAACTGTCTGCACTTGTTTTGTAGTAACATGTCTTTGAATAGCTACTACCCTAATTTTGTTATTCATTTGTCTTTTTTTATAAATTTAGTCCGAACCTTTTGATGGGAAGGATTCACAAGAGGGGTGTTCACGGGCACCGCACACTGCTGCGTGCGGTGTGTGCGGTACGTCCAGCAGGCGTGGGGGTAGGGGATGGGTAGGCGGTTCTGACGTCACGGCTGCGTGCGGTGGACGGTCCGCTGTGGCCAGTCCCGACCGGCCACAGCGATCGCTGTGTGCGGTGACGGAAGGCTGACGTAGGGACGCGGTGGGCGGAGCTTCGAGGCTGTGTGCGGTCCGACCGCACACAGGGTCCGTGAACAGCCCTAAGGACAGAGCCACCGCTAAGCGAAGCTTGTTGCGATGACCCTGCCCTCTACCCTCCGATCGCGCAATTCCGATTCTATGGCAGAATTTTTAGAGTCCAAAGTTTAACGTGCGCACAAAGCCGCGCACGGCCGGTCCCCTCGCTGACTTCGCCTGGCTACGGCCTGCCACCAACCGTAACCATACCTGTCAGGAGGCCGATAAATGTCGAGCGCCCGTCGCGCTTCGAACCCGGACTGTCATAACCGGGAACGCGTGCTCTCACCACGCGGAGTCCAACGCTGTATCCAACTGAGCTACGGGACCGGCTACGACCGAGCTATTACGACCGATTATGTGGCCAACCAGTAATTACGCCAGTGAACAAATCAAAACATGTACGGTCACGGAAAGAGGGAGCTCACGAAATGTTCGTTTTTATTTTGATTCAGGCAGTCGTTACGCAAGGTAATCGTTACGTAAGATTGTTGATGTAGGTGGATGGCGGTTTTTTTTTTGTTATCACAACAGTATTTTCATCTAATAAGCTTATTGTTCTAAACGTTTTTTTCCTTGTGCCATTTTTTAACGTTGCTGGTATTCACGTTTGACATATTTTATAGTTTTTCTTTCTTATTTCTAATGGAGTGTTCTTCCCATGATGTCATTTAGGCAACAGACATTCGACGTCGTTTTCTGCATTCCCTTTGGATGTTATTTTATTTGTCCTGACTTTTGCTCTACCGGTGCTTTTTTCGTTTTAAGTCCATATCCACACTCCTTCATATCTCGATGGCCTCTTGATTTAATACTGCGTCAACCGTGGCATGCGTACTAGCGAGTCCATCCTAATGTCCATGAAGTCCTCATGTCACATCCTATTGTAGAAGCCTGCTATCGGCTTTCTGTAATCGGCCTCCATTGCTTGAAAACCGATATAGTCGCCTATATCTCGTACTTTCTGGTTTGTGAATCTTCAGGGTGAAAGTTTATATCGTTTATCAAAGTTTATCTAATGCCTATGATGTATTGAGGCTCATGAATGTAGATACTAGATATTACAAGGACCTTCTCGATCATTCTCTGCTGGGAGTATTTTGCGGTGAAGCTACAGGGTGGAAAGTAATTACGCGAACATACTTTTTCGTCTTATAGCAATGGAAAAAGCGGCGGGTGATATGAAAATTTCATCCTTTTATATACATTATACATATTCCTATTTATGTGCGATACACTGACAAAGGCGTTCAGGCATAATTGACATGAGCATGTCAAGCACTGTTGGCCAAAGCTTAGTCCACGCCTCCTGGAGCTGTCTGGTGAGGCAATCGATGTTGGTGGCTACTAGCAGCTCTTAGACGCTCTCCTGAAGAGTCGCCTGGATATTTTTGATCAAATTGAGGTCTGGGCTATTTCCAGATTGACCATTATATGCCCAGAAGAAGAACAGATTCTCAAAGCACCAGTCTTGCGTCTTTTCGGCCGTGAGAGGAAGGACTTTATCAATCATGAAGAAGAGTTTCTTTGCGTCGGGCACAAAAGTGCGCTCAATCATTTTGCCCCTTTTGGTGCATTGGTGGATTAGATAAAGAGACTCGTCTGGAAGGATGTTCCACTAGTTGTATACTTTATTTTTGGTTGCCTTTTTGGTCACTACATGCAATTCTGACACCATCCGGGCGCTCATAACACGCTGATGTGTGTTCCTTTGCCGGATGTTTGAAGGTTGGGACGGGCGGGACGTCGGACGCATCAGCAGCCCCCAACGCGTTGTTCTGCAGGTTTGACGGATGAAATAGCTTCGAAGATGTCTCACCCAACCACAAAGCCAGCTGCCTGTCCTCCTCTGTTCAGGTTTGCCGGTCTTTAGAAAACTTAAATTGACAATCCTGCTGTTAATTCATGAATTTTGGCCATCTCGATTGTTTGTACGGCTTGATTTTCGAATTTTCACGGATTTATGTATGAATCGTGATATCTTAGATCGGGTACCCGGCCAGAGTAAACCATTTCGCCTGTTTTCGGATCGACTGTTGTCGTAATTGGTCGCGGAAATGGTGACCACCCATTCGGCGCCTGAATTCGCCGAGGTTTTACTGCCGCCAACGGCTTTGCTTTTTAAGTCCTCTTAAGTTTTATTATGCTTCAACCAAACGTGTAATTGAGTAATGCTGGTGCCGAGACCGTTCCGAGTCCCTTCCGCACCAATCCAGCCAAAATAATCACAAACGCTTTCCCTGGCAACACCAAATTGCGATCTTTGCACATTGTGGTCTTGTGCAGCGTATGGCGTCTGCACCATTCGAAGTCGAGACGTGTTGTAGACCTTCCAAGTCATTTTTCAAAGTAAGGTCACTTTTGGTAGATGAGGCGACAACAAACACGACCAATCATGTTCCATGACAGCCCGCGCTCATACAAAATCTCCACTGACGGGCGAAATTGTAAGAAAATACATGTTCGCGTAATTACTTTCCACCCTGTAGTGGTGCTGACTGCTGTCTCTGTGTGTTTTGAACTGTAGTTGCTCGCTCACTCATGCAATACTGACCACGATTATACAGAACCGCTCCGTCCGTACAAAACTGCCCTTGTTGGCTGGTTTTTGACTCCCGTGCCGTTTTAATCAGGATGTTTTATCTATCACAATATACAAAACTTCTCCGAATAAAGTGTTTGGCCAGTGCGCATCTGTCTGGCTTTATGCCTGGAAACGCTCTGGACCGGGATCCGGGGCAACTTTCGAGGGTGCACGTTGACGTACGTACGCACTGTACAAACTGACATATGCGTCGTGACCAATAAGTCGAGGATAGCATTGCATGCGAGCACAGGCTTGCAGAATCATGATTTTTTGCTTGCCGGTTACGCCGTTGTATCAGGGCATCTGCATCTGGTTGGACGTAAGCGCATTTGAGGTGTTGAGGTGATGCCATTCCCAATGTTATGCGAAGGTGTCCGTTTTCCAACGAGCGATGGCCGGTGAACGGCTGGGATAATATTTCTTTACTTATTTGAATAAGAAAAGCAAATAGACAAAATGCCAGGGTCAGTTGAAGCCGCTTAGGTCGCAAAGCTGGTCGAAGGAGGTCAGCAGGTCCGCCTAATGGGATCGGAAGGGGAAGACATTATTTTTAAAATATGGTGGCATTTATTCATTGTTTATTGAAGACGTTCTTAACACTAATGCGACAAAAGCTGCGTATTCGATTATGTTCACTCGCAGTGATTGAGAAAGAAAGCTTGAGACTGGCAGAGAATTAGCCAATGGAGAGCGAAGGTTAGAATAAGTTAGCGCGATATGATAAGTTTTCGAATGATATTTTTTTGTGTGTTCGCATGCATGCAACAAGCTTTATGCAACGAACCGGTGTTTTTGTTATTATTTTCAAGTAGATACGCCGAATATAGGTACAGATAGATTTAATCCCACAGCCATCTAAATCCATAAATTAGGACGAATAGCTTCAGTTGGACTAGATACACTACCAGGAAGGTTTAGCCAGGTTTTGATCTACTAATGCCTGCCGGTTTTGATGCATTCATTTGACTTTTTGAAATGTGTTAGGTTGTTGAAACTTCAGTTGGATAATTGTATTTCTTTGTAATAAGACAAAAATACAAGTGAAGGTCATCTCTACTTAGGCTTGCTCGGTTATGTCCCCCATGTGTGATGTATCTCGTACAATGCTTCACCAGCACGGGTTCATCAGTGCAGCACAGTACCAACTACCACAGTCTATGACAGTCGGTGACACACCAGGGAAATAAGCTAAAATTAGAGCACTCTATTTATTGCTCCCGCTACTTCACCGTCTCCCATAGGGTCCTGTGTTGAGCTGGTGTCGAGGCTCTAAAAATGACGCCGATTTTTGCACCCTTCTCACGAAAACCGCTCGGACCGCCTGGAAACCAATTGTTCCGCTCTAAAAATTTCATGATCGACGGGAAAATGAATGAGGAAAAGATTGGTCCTGAAATAATTCTGAACTCCCTGTAGAACATATCGAAATATGGCTGCAAACTAGGAGCATGTCAAAATCGACAAAACAATACAAATAAAATTACCGGGATTTTTTTATTTTCCATGCATCTGTGTATGAAATCAGTCGGTTTTTCGGAAAGATCATCTTCTGTTTAATAAATAATTCCACAATTGCAATCGAGAAAAAAAAACATTTCCGCTGTGACAACAGTTTTGGCATTGTGCCAGTAGTGTGGCGTGCGCGGTGCTGCGTGGTCGTCGGGACGGAGTTGTGAGTATTTTCGGTGTTTTAAATGGTTGATGGCCATTTGAACCAGCTTCATATTATTTCCTACAAATTTTTGCATCAAATTATTGCTTTGAAAGACCATTGAAACCCCTTATCTCTTCATGAAACACGATCATATTCATCGTCGACGAAAATGGCGTGGGACTCCATGTGCATTCCGATCGAAATAAATCGTAAACTAAATAACATTCGATGATAAGTATCATATTCTAGTGACACATTTTCATAAAATAAGGCATAAACTTTGCAAGGAAGTCAACATTGGATAATTGGATTCTTATTTTGCTCACATATCCTTGTAGTAGTCAAATGGCTCAATTGTTAGATAGATGTAAGCATATGTTTTGGCTTGATGTTTGCTGTGAAACCACCCAGCCACTTGCTGGTTGAGTGGTTTTCTGATAATTACCTGATAATCATTTCTCCTTTTCCTTAAAAGAAACTAAAATTCCTTTCAAAGTAATCCATTTTAAGGAAAGGGGGCTTGCTCATTGGCATTTCATGTTCTTGTTTTGTTATTGCTGGCAGTATTTTGATACAATAATGCAATATGAATTTTTTGCAATAATAAAACCTAAGACAAACTTAGTTAATGCGTCAATCAAACACCCAACAGAAAGATTGTGAGTCCTTGTGACGTGAAGTAGAATATTCTATGAATGTGTTATATAGAATATGCCAAATATTAAATTAATTATTATTTGATACTGATAGCTGAGCAGGTGGATTATGCCACAATATAATTTCATTTTCTGGTTTTGAAATAGCCTGCAGTATTTTTCTTCAACAAATGTAATATACATAGAATACATGTTGTTATGTTACCTATGTTAAAAGTTTAATAACAGCCAACAGAAGGAGCTGTTTCAGCAGATAATGTTTGTACCTTATGCATTACCTTTCTTTTCTGCAGGACCATGCTTCCGCTGGGTGGTCGACATTTGCCTCCTGAAGAAGTTGAGCAACATGAAGACCACCAGATGAGGTGTCTGCAGTTCATGTGGAACTCTGCAGACTACAAGTGTTATGTCAACCACAACCAAAGTGCTGTGATCATGGAGGCATGAACCTCATGACAACACTTCAGATTTGCAGTTGAACCAAAGTGTGATTCAAACCACCTGTGGCATCTCACTCAATGTGTGAACAGTGTGATTATTGTGCAGTGTTCAGCTGCAACTAAGACATTTATTAGTGACTTGTTTTGCAATTAGCCACCAAAAGCATTTTTTTGGGCTGGCTGCTGTAATTTGGTTGTGCACTGCGCAATAGTGGTAGTGTTTTGTCACTTGTCAAGTTGTCAGTTGTGCATGTTGCATGTTTCTCTTCCCTCGGCCCTCATTATCAGTTAAGTGGTGAATTGGCATCACTCAGTCTCCCCAGATCTCCATTGACTGTCTGTCAACCACCTAACTTGAGATGGTATTTGCTAATAGTGTCAGAAAAGAAGTGATTGTAGACATTTTTAGGAATATGAGCTCCGTTTCATGCGTGTTCCAGTGGTCATTTTGTCACATGTCCCATAGTGTAATAAATGGAAACTGTTGTTCCCTTTTGAAGGTACTCGCGGATGCAGAAAGCGTTGGGCCTAATTATTAAACGCACCCTCCTATCAGCGACGCACGAAATCGACAAATATCATCCTTTTTAGAACAGGAGGAAACGAAAACTTGTGAACATAGCTGTACCTACAACAGTGCATAAGGAATTGAAATTCTGGGAGTTTTTGAAATTCGGAGAAACTCAAGTTGTCGACAGGTATGCCCCCTTGCACGTCAAAGACCGCCTAAAAATAAACGTCTACAAATGAAGGCAGTATTCGTATGTTCGTTGTAATTGCAGCAGCCTAGCAACATGTATTGCGGTCCGATGGCGAATTGCACTCGTGCTCAAAACTATGCCGGTAACTGCCAATGCACTTAGGTCATAGGTGAGGAGAGGAAGGGTTATGTCATATGTCAACATCATAAAAATGGCTTCATCTGAGCTGTGCCTATTGTAGGTACATAATTCAACCAATCTATGCATTTCGTTTCTTGCAATCTACTCATGCTTTCACTCCAGCTTCAGAGTAATCATCCCATATTGTACGTCTTAAGATATTGATTTCTATCGCGGTTTGCAATTACTAGCCACGTCTCACCTCAGTTTGGTGGCCCCGCATCGGCCCACTCGGCCGCTCTAAAATTGACTTACGGAGGAGGATGGTGGCTTTTATTTTAGCTTCTCCGCCGACTGCGGGGAGCGCCGTCGCCGAGGTAGGAGCAATAATTAGCTTATGTTTGGGACTAATTTCCACGCTTAATTAACATTTTAATGTTATTTTAATTAATTCATGTTAATCCTTGACGCATTCTCTTTCTATTGATACCATCCACCGGTCTGAGAATTACTGCCTTGCTGCGTAAGGGCCGATAAAAGATCACGCTTTTAGGGGTATCTCTTCAACATGGGGCAGGAGCAATAAATAGAGTGCTCTAATTTTAGCTTATTTCCCTGGTATGTCACCAACTGATGAAGGACCGGGGCGATCTGTACCCGGGCAGTGGCGTGGCCCGTGGCCGTGTTGCGCAGGAACTACTGTCAGATTGAGGGGACACACCATAGAGATCAACCTAGGTTACCTTCAAACTGAAATCTAGTTCAGTTGGGGAAACTACGAGGCGAATATCAAAAAATTGATTGGTCAATAAATGGACTTTTGATGACCATATATGGGCATAAATGCAGCCCTCGCTACTAAGGGTGAAAAACTGTATAACAAGCCGGTACTTGCGGTATCGCGTCCACTTATTGGAGAGAAAAGGCTTTCATTTTTCACTAGGAATTAGCGTGATTTGATTAAATTAGGCGAATAAACTCAAAAATTGATAGGAAAACGGCTTTTCTGTAGGTTCTGGGCATCAAAATCAGCTGGCCATTCAATAAATGGATTGGTTTTATGAAAGAAAATTGTTAAAAAATTTAATTTAATTACAATAAACAAAGATATTTAATTTTCAAATAATAACTTAACCACAATTAGAAAAACCATAAACAAAATAGGTAATAAAAATAATGACATTTTTAAACCATGGTACTGCTTACATTTTTTGGCGCGTCTGTTTCAATCCGCCATATTTTCCAATCACGGTTTGACATTGCGTTGTAACTCTGTGATTTAGAGCCGCAAGTTGATTATGCACTGAGTGAATGTAGGCCTTGTGTGGTTAAAAAACATTCTTATTATGCCTTATTTTTTCATTTGTATGCCAGGATTCATTGAAAAGATGAAGTCTGATTTTCTGACCATATATGGTCATCGCTTCGCCCACTCCAGCCGCTGATTGGCTAATCCAATTTTTGTTTGGCTCCTCGTAGTTTGCCCAACTGAGTTTTCTCACCAGTTTTAGGCCACTTATTTTTTTAGGCTTTGGCTTTTTCAATGAAAAAATGAAACAAAACATTTGCTAAATTAATTTGCTAAATGAGTTGCTGAGCCAATGAAAGAGGTGCTTTTTCACTTAAATGCTTTCTTCCTTTGTGACCCACAACCCCTGATTTGGGAAGGACACGCTGTCCCAATGGTTCCTGGCCCTGTAAAAGTACCGCCCCTACGGCCTTGGAGGCAAGACCCCCCCCCCCTGGTTCCCCGGCGGGCCGGACCCACTTCCTGTGCCTATGCCTGTACCGTTCCATGCAAATTCTGTACCACACCACATCGAATCTGCACTGCACTGTGCGCAGGCAGAGGGTGCCTGCAATGATGAGATCTCTTTATGATTGCAATTGTTTGCAGTCTGGGAAATGTGATGTGAGACGAGACCTTGTACCGATTTGTGCTAGGCATTCTACAAACTGATCACTCTTGGTGTAGCTACTGTCATACACATTCATGTAGTAAGTGGAAGTAATTTTAATGCCTTCAACTTTTACTGAAAACTTATAAAATCACTGTTTATAGTTAGAATTTGCTGATATATTCTTTAGATGCACTTATTAGCAAAACTGACACTATTGGTCACACTTTTTTCCCATATTAAACTATCAGCAGACTGAGACAGTCCACAATGCAATACATTTCAGATTGTCACTCCTGCTGCATGTTGGAGCTTTGGCTCTGGTTGTCTACTTAACGAGCTGGCAGCTCTTAGCTGCATAGTTCTAAATGCCTAATCATAACCCAGAGCTGCACTTCATTGTAAACCAGTATAACGCCTTTTGGGGCGACTAACGGAGCGAGCGAGAGGGTGGGCCTTGCACGTGCGAAATTGCGAAGGGGTACCTCCAACTGACTTGTGCATGGCACCCTACTAACCGGTCTCTAGCGATGTGCCAAATTTGGGCACAATCGGCCCAGCCGTTCTCGAGATCTGGAAGCGGCACCCTGCACGTGCGCACGTGCAAAATGGGTCCCAACTGACTTGTGCACGGCACCCTACTAACCGGTCCCTAACTGTGTACCAAATTTGAGGGCAATTGGTCGAGCCGTTCTCGAGATCTGGAAACGACCCCTGCACGTGCGCACGTGCAGCAGCACTCCAACTCTGGCACATGAATATGCATTGCCTAGTGGGTGCCTACCTACATGCCAACTTTCAGCGCAATCGGCCAAGTAGTTACCGAGATATTGCAACAATTACAAAAGTGACACCTCTTCGTTTTGCACGTGGCACGTGCATAAGGGGTCACCCACATGCATCGGGAATAGTCCAATACTTGGTAGAAGGAATGAAGCTACCCTACAAAAATTACCGCATGTAAATCGGTCAAGTGGTTGCTGAGATATAAGCGTCGCAAAAGCGTGACCACGGCCGGCCGGCCGGCCGGCCGGCCGCTCATACTCAGAAATTTCCGTTAATCTAAGGAAAGACTACGCTCGCTTCGCTCGCTCCGTAATCATTCCTTTGGCATGCACTAAGGAATGTTCATGAAACATAAATATGAAGCAGCAGAGCCATTCTGACATGATGGGGCTATTAAAGTATGTTTAGTGTTCAAATGGATATCTGATTTGGAACCAGAGTCTGGTTTGGAGTTGATTTTGTACAGCTCAAATAGGTGTCAGAGTTAGTGTCAGTAAGTAGGTAATATCGGTACCTACCTGCATCACTTAGCTGTACCCAGACCAGTTACTGGACCATATATTACCTTTTTCAGACGCCGCTGACCGCCAATGGAGGTGGAGGGTAGCAGCGGCGCGCGGCCGGCCGGCCTGTGGACGCACCTGCAGCGGCTGGTGACCCGGCCCGGCCCGCTGGCGCACCCCGAGTTCACGCCCTCGCCCGAGATCCTCGACCTGCTGCGCGACACGGTGCGCGTGCTGGTGGTGGGCGCCGGCGGCCTCGGCTGCGAGCTGCTCAAGGACCTGGCGCTCATGGGCTTCGGCATGATCGACGTCATCGACATGGACACGATCGACGTGTCGAACCTGAACCGCCAGTTCCTGTTCCGGCAGCAGGATGTGGGCCGGCCCAAGGCGGTGGTGGCGGCCGAGTTTATCCACGGCCGGGTGCCCGGCTGCACCGTCACGCCGCACTACTGCAAGATCCAGGACTACGACGACCTCTTCTACCGGCAGTTCCACGTGGTCGTCTGCGGACTGGACTCGATCCTGGCGCGGCGCTGGATCAACGGTGGGTGGTGGAGAGGAGATGTATCAACGGTGGGTCGCAGGAGGCCTGGCCAACGGACGGTGCTGTTAGGGGTAGGGTGGGGTCACATGGAGGTAAACATAGGCTGTATGGGCTACTTAGCGAACTTTACTTGTTTTTATTTTTTGCATTGAATATCAATATGAATTCATTATGTTCCACTGCTTGATACGGCAGTTGCTTATTAATGTAGACATTGGAGTCAATATTATCCGTACTGATGGCGCTTTGAAAATACCAATGGGTGGCGTGTGTATGATTGCTGGTGTTTTTGGGAAGCTGCAGTAACGTCCCGCAGATGGTCTGACTGCCTCTGTGTTCCAGGTATGCTGGTTTCGCTGCTGCGGTATGAGGAGGACGGCTCGCTGGACCAGTCCTCAATGATCCCACTGGTCGACGGCGGCACTGAGGGCTTCAAGGGCAACGCGCGCGTCATCCTGCCGGGCATGTCGGCCTGCATCGAGTGCATGCTCGACCTATACCCGCCGCAGGTCAGTTGGCGCCGCGGACATAGCGACGAGTCAGCTCATGGCTGTACGGAGAGTCATCGGGCCAGGGCGGGGCCACCGGCTTAGCGTGGTGTTCACTGTAAATGACTTTGGTATCGATAGTTAACAATCGTTGATGGTTTAGTTACAGCCGTTAAACTATTTGAGTTTTATGCAAGCTAGTTATTCATTGTTTTAGGGGCCGTTTCCCTGTTGAATGAATGTGAAAATAATTATTTTTTTCGTTCACTCGTGTCTTTCAGGTCTGCCATTTATCTCTTACGTTTCTGGTCCTTGCATGCTCCACCTACTGTCTACCGCGCCCATAAATACCATCCTATTCTGTCCTGCTGCTCCAACGTACAGTGAGAAACTCTTCACGGATTACGGAAACACCAAGTGACTGAGATTATTCCGCCTCTGTTTGTCACCCGCAGCGTAATTTCCCGCTGTGCACGATCGCTCACACGCCGCGGCTGCCGGAGCACTGTGTCGAGTACGCGCGGCTGCTCCTCTGGCCCAAGGAGAACCCGTGGGGCGACGGCGCGGCTATCGACGGCGACGACCCGGCGCACGTCGGCTGGATCCTGGAGCGGGCGCAGGAGCGAGCCGCCGAGTACGGCATCGCCGGCGTCGACTACCGGCTCACACAGGTGCGTGACCGGGGCGGGCGGACTACCGGCTCACACAGGTGCGTGACCGGGGCGGGTCGACTACCGACAGACCGGGGCGGGTGGACTACCGACAGACCGGGGCGGGTGGACTACCGACTGACCGGGGCGGGCGGACTACCGGCTCACACAAGTGCGTGCATACGGACAGACCGGGGCGGGCGATTTTTAGTGGTGTGACTGATTGTCGACGAGGAACTATGCCTAGGATCGTGCGTTTTATTTAGAATGCAGCATGTTTTATGCCTATACAATGTTTTATGCGGTTTTGGAGCATGTTCCGTATAAAGAACCACGAGCATTTTCGTAAGTAATAACTCACTGCGTTGTGCGTACTTAATAGGTACTAATCCTTTCCAACGGTTGCCTTTTGTTCCATTTATCTCGCGAAAATTCACCTTATATCGAGCAGACTTCTGACTTTGTTCATCAGCTGCTCAAATCACCGCGTTCCTGACTGGGACTCCCACCCCATGACTCCCGCCAGGGTGTGGTGAAGCGCATCATCCCGGCGGTGGCGTCCACGAACGCGGTGGTGGCGGCCGCCTGCGCTACAGAGGTGTTCAAACTGGTCACCAGCTGCGCGGCGCCCATGAACAACTACATGGTCTTCAACGACGAGGACGGCATCTACACCTACACCTACGAGCACGAGAGAAACGTGAGACGAGCCGCCCGACAATTGGTCAATAATTAGGGACTCTCGATGATGAACGGGCCTTTATTCATGGTCAGCGTATCTACGAGAACGTAGTTCAGCGGTCAACGCTTGTTGCGTTTGATACCGGATAGAATCAGCAATATGGAACGAGCTTTATGCTATTTCAGCCTGACGGTTAAAGTGATATACCCGAATATCATTTTTAGTGAGCACGGAATGGTGCACTTGAAGAATGTACCATCCGGCCTAAGCTATATACAAATACATCCTAGGTCTTGATGAACTCTGCCCCATCATGTAGCACAAGCTGCCGCAATGCGTCTGAATTTACTCTTATGGTCACCCGTCAGCTGATCTCGCGTATTTGGCAGTAGTGGGAACAGAGACGTTATGCTGAACAGTTTTTCTACTCCGCGTTACATACGTGCCCTATGCCATCCCTGGCCCCCTCCCTCTCTAACGCTGTCTCCTCTCGCAGGAGTCGTGCACGGCGTGCAGCCAGCGGCCCACGCCGCTCCGGTTCACCCCTGACACCCGGCTGGAGGCGGTACTCGACTTCCTGCGCGCCGCGCCCCAGTACCAGATGAAAAACCCCGGCGTCACCACCACCACGGCCGACGGCCGAAACCGCACCCTGTACATGGCCACCGTGCCCAGTATAGAGGAGCGCACCCGGCCCAACCTGAAGAAAACGCTCACCGGTGAGGGCCGCACGGGAAGGGGAGAACGGTCACAGATGAGGGCCGCGAGGGGAGAGGGAAGGCGGCCAACACAGGGCAAGGCCGCACGGGGAGGGGGACGGTCACAGGGGAGGGCTGCACGGGGAGGGGGTAGGACGGTCACAGGGGAGGGCTGCACGGGAGCGCTGGTTGACGGTGACGCCACCACTGTAGCTCCACGAAGTTTTGTTCCAGCTTGTCTTGCCGTAGCCATTTGCAATAAATTCATAGGTAAGGTTTGGTTTCTACTCTGCTTTCCTTTTTTAATGTACCGAGTTGTAAACCCATGTGAGCTAATGAAATATATTACGACTGGTGTAATGGTTTATCGTATCAGTATAGAGGTTTACGGAATATACTTTATCTTCAGTACATGAAGTTACGATATGGCTGAGAAAATTTGCAATGCATTTGTGGACTTCGTAATGCAACGATCAATTTTCTTAACTGCGGGGTTAAGATGATGAGCTTAAGTTATTTGCCTATTCGCTCACCACTAGAAGTTTGCTGCTATCTTTCTGGAGCTGGCCTGTCCCCCCGTGTCCGTCAGAGCCGTTACTGACCCACCTGTTTACCTCTGTCCGTCAGAGCTGGAGCTGAGCTCCGGCCAGGAGCTGGCCGTCGCCGACGTCTCCACACCCAACACGGTCATCTTCCAACTGGAGCTGACGGACGCGTGACGTCAGCTGCCGCGTGTGTGACGTCACTGAGCCCTGAGGTCACTGAACTGACGTCAGACAGCACCTGCCCTGTGATGTCCGCTCTCGGCCGCGTGAGGAGGTGACAGAGCAGGTCACGGTAAGGCACTGGGTGCCAATCTCTGACAGCGGCGCCTCTCAGTGATACGTGCGGTCGCTGGTATGGGACCTGTGGGGTGGCGTGGCGGGCCCGAGATGCGGGTGGCCCGTGGTTGGCTGTACTCTCGTCGGGCCGGCAGGGGGTGTGGCAGATTATCGCTGGTCTCAGCTGACTGAGGGCATGTGAATGGTGAAGCGGTCCTGCAGGAGGGCGATGTGGTGATGTTGGGACGCCGGCCGAGCCGGTGATCCGTGTCGGATCGTGACTTCCCTGTGAGCGGCCTGTGCTGGCCGACTCAACGTATTTAATGTCAGTGTAATGTGCTTAGGTCAAATATACAATTGTTCGCACTGTCAGCGGGCTTTACTTTCTAGGGCACCGACTGGACCTTAGGGATTAGGTTGCCGCATGAGGGCTACTAGATTTTTCTGACATTATCATTGTGATGTCACGAAAGACTTTTGTGGACTATTGGCCGTTCGTTATCTGACACGCCCGGCCGTGCCCCCAACACCTCGGTCGGCAGCCCTCCGATCAGACCGTGTGTGAACTGTGAACAGTGCCGGGTCGGTGCTACGCTCCGCCGGCGCCGCGCGGTACGTCACGGCTCATCAGCGGGCTACCTTAGCGAGCCGAACCGCCACGGGAAGACGCATCACGACCCTGATTGGAGCGTGAGCCGTGCCGTAATTATGGGGTCAAACGCAGTGCTAGGTGTCTGAGTGTCATGGAGTGTAGTCGTAGTCGCATTTGCCTTGGAAGTTCGATAGGGTGCCATTATCGTTCGTAACCGGTTATTACGTTCAGTACGGTCCAACGTTAAAATCCGTTGGTATTACGAAAGACTACGATGAATTTCGTCTCTGTTCATAATTCACATCAATCTTTTCGTTTGACATGACCACCGTGGCTGAGTTTTCTGACCCGCCTTTATCCGCCGGTGACCCGGGCGAGTTCGTTTGTCATCGCTCTGTCACGGTCTGTCGTCGGGTCGCCAAGGTCACTGCCATCGGTACGATTGTGTGTGGGAAGGATGCGTGATCCATGACGCGTTTATAGCTCTATTGAGACCCAGGAGGCTGATCGTAAACGCACCGGTAGCCGGACCCCCCCCCCCCTCCCACACACACACACACACGATCGTTCTCAATGCTCCCGCTCGACTCTGGTCTCGTGTTGGCTTTGTGTAGTTCATAGACTAGCTCTAAACCAGTAGGCAACGGTGGCATTAATGATTTCACAAGAATACCCCGCGCAGTATGCCTGTAATTATTGCTCGCTTAGAAAACGCGGTACACGTGGTTTCAAGGACAGTTCCACTACGATATTGACTAAACATAATGAGGGAGATGGAATTAAACAGTTACATAAGACCACTGTGGCGGAACAAAGTGTGCCCTGCTAATGGGTTTCTGAGCCCCGCACCCGACCAGGGGCAGCTGATAGAGCTTCCGGCTTTTATACGCTCGCGAGCCTCCGGACATTCGAGCCATCCGAGCAATTTAAACGAACTAAGACATCGTTGGTAATTATGCTAGTTTACCTGACTATGACATGAGTCTTATCCTGCATACCTAAAATGGTAAAAGGGTTGGTTTCCATAGGTTGGTAACTTTTGCTCAGTGTAAGGGAATATACGAGTGATTAAAGAGCAAAATGGTATCGATCAAAGATAGATGATGATTAGGTACATACGCTGGCCAATGCCGAATCCAGAAAGGCTAATTATCTCAGCGGACACGGCGCGGAACATACTCTCCCAAACCTTTCTCCAAATGATAAAAGTTCTTCGGATTTCGCTTCCTTAATCACTGCTGTGCAAGTTAACCCTCGCACTTATAGGGCGGGGAGGGGGCCGAATGAACATTGAACCCCAGTCGGTTTTTCACGAATAAGTCGCGAAAAGCGCGGCCGATCGCGACGAAACTTGCGATACTCTCGAGTTACTTATTTTACATATACCCTGAAAATTCATAATCATGACCCTGACCCAAATTGCCCATGACCATTGACCTGTGACCTGTTTCCCGAGATCACGTCAGGTCGGAATCGCGATTCGACGTGTGTGCGCGCATCCCGTGCGTTTCCAGACTTGTGACTAGAAACAAGGGGCAATCAATGTAATTGACCTTTGTTGGTTCCTTCAGGTGACACCTTTTCGAGTGAAACGACTTTCGAGGGTAATTTTTGGCGTTAATTTCGAGTTTGGCACTCATTTGAACATTAACGAAATAATTTTAGTGCCTACTACATAACATGTTACGAAGCTGTAGTGGCGATTTATACCTACACTTCTGTTCTGGCGCCCGGCTGGACGCCTTCTGATTGACCCGACCTGGTATGACCTACCCCAAATGCGTGCATGCATCATCTTTGATCAAAACAAATACCCAATTTGAAATCACGATCCAGAAAAAACATTCATCTAAGAAGTTCTAGCATGTCCCGATTTTCCCGACTTTTGGGCCATTGACTTGACCTGAAAGGTCAACTAATTACATAGGACCTTAGAACTGGGTGTCATCGTTTAGCAGCTTTCTTATGTTACGGACAACACGTTCGTTTGTTTCCTCAAAGCTCTAGCTCCATTATGATTAGAGGCCGAACGGCCGGGGTCCAACAGACCTCCCCCCCCCCCCCCGAACGCTAGCGGCTGGAAAAACACCAATAACGGCGAGGGTTAAACATTCTTCTAAATTTTCTTAGTTTTTTCTACTTTAGGAAATTCTTCATCTATTTCGGATGCTGCATGAGTGGCAAATTTGGATTTATGATTCATCAGTTCATGTCGTTTTTCTTTCTCTGGTCGTCGTCTTTTGTCTGTTTTTCACTTGTCGGTTTCTGGAGACCTATGCCAGTTGCTGGGGCTAATGCCGATCCATGAAGCTTCACACCGCCTCCAGAGGCCCACATTGACTCCTTGGGCCCCCGCGCTGGCCTCTGAGAGCCTCCACGCAGGCGTTTGTAGCCCTAGGCCGATCTGAGAGCCCCACACGGGCTTTTAGTAGGTGTGACTTGTGTGGGCCTAATTCCTGTCTCTGAGGGATAACGGAGAGTTCTACAGGGGCCTCCAAACTAACAGCGTCCGAATTATAAGGGCTGATCGGTATCCGTTCGGTTTATCATGACCCCTATCGTCCCTGAGTACTAACGTGAGGGGCGAGGGCAGCACTTGCTACACCGTTCTGCAGTCCTATTTTATCGACACCAACTGACGAACATTTCCCTCCATGAGCATCGTTCCATGGAATGTTAGGTCATAGGTGTTCACCTTACTTAACACTGTAACAGCTATAAACGGCCTCCCGTCGGACTCCCCGCCAAGACTGCTTACTGTTGGGGGCAGGGACGGTCACAGGGCCCCGGCACTCACAGTGGGCGCCTGACTCACCTTTCATTTCCGACAGCGCGACGCGCAATTTAATCGGGTACCTATCTCTGCGTGGCGGCGCTGGCGTGAAATTCACGCACGCATGGCGGGGGGGGGGGGTGACAGAGGCGGGGATGTTGGGTAAGGCAGAGCGAGAGAGCGCGTGAACTGCATTCAGCTAGAGGGGTATCACCTCAAACAGACTGACGCGGATTCCTCGTATTCTTGGATTAGGAAGAGAAATGCCGTTTAAAACTTCAAACACGATGCAGGAGTCGCAAGAAATTATTCATGCGGACACACACGGTGGGTGCATGTCTACCGAGCAGTCGATGCAGTCTGCAGAATGCTAGTTCTGGAGCAATATTGAATATGTGGTTAGAAGCCATCGTTATCATGATGAAAAGGGATATCATGCATTAATGATTAAAAACTATTGTGCAATCAATGGCACAGTCATACGACAGCACAGCAACCCTGGAAGGAGTAAAAACCCTCATCGTCTGTTACAATGGTGTTTATCTCATAAAATATTGAGGGAGAAGACGCTAATTTTGAAAGAACATCATATGTATAGTGTGCTTAACACTTAACACGGTGTATCGTATCCCACAAGACATCACTTGGCACGTGTCGCCATACACCATCGTCCAACAGGCATGTGGCACATCATCTACAGACATCGCTCGGCACCTACAGACCTACAGACATCGCTCGGCACCTACAGACCTACAGACATCGCTCGGCACCTACAGACCCACAGACATCGTTCGGCACCTATACTCGTACAGACCTACAGACATCGCTCGGCACCTACAGACCTACAGACATCACTCGGCACCTATACAGACCTACAGACATCGCTCGGCACCTACAGACCTTCGACGCCACTCGGCACCTACAGACACACAGACATCGCTCGGCACCTACAGACCTACATACATCATTCGGCACCTACAGGCCTACAGACATCGTTCGGCACCTACAGACCTCTATAGGTGACCTAATAGACATCACTCGGCACATCGCCTGCAAGCATCGCCTTCAGACATCGCTCGGTATCTTTACAGACATCGTTAGACTCATCGCGTGCCGATTTCGCTCGCTACAAGATCTACAGACATGGTTAGACACATAGCCTGCGTATATCGCCTCACTCATTAGTCATTATCTACAGACATCGTTAAAAACATCGCCTACTCTTATCGCCCGATACTAACTATGCATTATCTACAGACATCATTAGAAACATCGCCTTCTTATACCACCCTTATCTACAGACATCATCGAACACATCACCCTATATCGGCCGATACATTATCTACTGAACGATTTACCACAATAACTTATATTGCCCGACACATCGCCTGCACTGCAGACATCGTTAGACACATCGCCTACACACATCGCCCGATACATCGCCTACAGACATCGTTAGACACACCGCCGACCATCGGCCGCGCCTGCGATCCTCTCCGCATCACGGCTGCCCTGGGCGTCATAACGCCCCCGCGGACCGCGATCCGAATCACGGCTGCCCTGGGCGTCATGACGCCCCCGCGGACCGCGATCCGAATCACGGCTGCCCTGGGCGTCATGACGCCCCCGCGGACCGCGATCCTCCCTCCGTCCGAGTCACGGCTGCCCTGGGCGTGACGCCGGCGATCCTCCGCGGCCGTCACGGCGGCCGACGTCACGGAGTCGCGAGTCGTGACGCCCCAGCGTGTCGGCCGACCGTGCCACTGCCCGCCCCGGTGCAGGGGTGTCATGGCACGTGGCGACGACTGGCGTTGACCAATGTCGCCTGAGCTGCGCCCGCCTCCCTCCGTTGGCTAACTCGGGTGCTGTTACAACACAGCCGGGACACCGTGAAAGAATGCAGATTCAGCGCTGCACCCCGAACTGGGGTAATACATGAACGCAAAGACAGACAGACGCAGGCATGCTTCGTATTTACAGTGATCTTCGCTGCCCGTAAATCTCCAC